TTCATCCCATGATGCCGCTGAATCAATATAAGACTAGTAACGGCAAGTAAATTGACAATATCGACGCCCACAACTGCTTTGTGTTCTACTCGTGCATAGAAACTACGCATAGACCTAGCTCTGATACCATTGTTGGGTAACGTAGCAGAAATTCAAAATTTTCTACGCATCACCAAGATCAATCTATGGAGTAATCTAGCAATGAGGGGAAGGAGAGTGCATCTACATACCCTTGTAGATCGCTAAGCGGAAGCATTCAAGTGAACGGGGTTGATGGAGTCGTACTTGTCGTGATCCAAATCACCGATGATCCTAGTGCCGAACAGACGGCACCTCCGTGTTCAACACACGTACAGCCCGGTGACGTCTCCTACGCCTTGATCCAGCAAGGGGAGAAGGAGAGGTTGGGGAAGACTCCATCCAGCAGCAGCACGACGGTGTGGTGGTGGTGGAGGAGCGCGGGACTCCAGCAGGGCTTCGCCAAGCACTACGAGAGACGAGGAGGGAGAGGGGTAGGGCTGCGCCAACAGGGAGAGCAAATCACATGTGTTGGGCAGCCCCAAACCTCAAGTATATATAGGGGGAGGGGAGGGGTTGCGCCCCCACCTAGGGTTCCCTCCCTAGGGGTGGCGGCAGCCCCCAGATCCCATCTGGGAGGCGGCCAAGGGGAGAGAGGGGGGGGGCGCACCTAGGTGGGCCTTAGGGCCCATCTGCCCTAGGGTTTGCCCCCTTCCCCTCTTGGAGGCACCTTGGGCCTTGGTGGGAGGCGCCCCAGCCCACCTAGGGGCTGGTCCCTTCCCACTATTGGCCCATGTAGGCCTCCGGGGCTGGTGGCCCCACCTGGTGGACCCCCGGACCCCTCCGGTGGTCTCGGTACACTACCGGTGATGCCCGGAACACTTCCGGTGGCCAAAACCATACTTCCTATATATTAATCTTTACCTCCGGACCATTCCGGAACTCCTCGTCACGTTCGGGATCTCATCCAGGACTCCGGACAACATTCGGTAACTGCGTGCATACTTTCCCTATAACCCTAGTGTCATCGAACCTTAAGTGTGTAGACCCTACGGGTTCGGGAACCATGCAGACATGACCGAGACAACTCTCCGGCCAATAACCAACAGCGGGATCTGGATACCCATGTTGGCTCCCACATGTTCCACGATGATCTCATCGGATGAACCACAATGTCAAGGACTTAATCAATCCCGTATACAATTCCCTTTGTCTAGCGGTACGATACTTGCCCGAGATTCGATCGTCGGTATCCCGATACCTTGTTCAATCTCGTTACCGGCAAGTCTCTTTACTCGTTCCGTAACACATCATCCCGTGATCAACTCCTTGGTCACATTGTGCACATTATGATGATGTCCTACCGAGTGGGCCCAGAGATACCTCTCCGTTACACGGAGTGACAAATCCCAGTCTCGATTCGTGCCAACCCAACAGACACTTTCAGAGATACCTGTAGTGTACCTTTATAGCCACCCAGTTACGTTGTGACGTTTGGCACACCCAAAGCACTCCTACGGTATCCGGGAGTTTCACAATCTCATGGTCTAAGGAAATGACACTTGACATTAGAAAAGTTTTAGCATACGAACTACACGATCTTTGTGCTAGGCTTAGGATTGGGTCTTGTCCATCACATCATTCTCCTAATGATGTGATCCCGTTATCAACGACATCCAATGTCCATGGTCAGGAAACCGTAACCATCTATTGATCAACGAGCTAGTCAACTAGAGGCTTACTAGGGACATGGTGTTGTCTATGTATCCACACATGTATATGAGTTTCCTATCAATACAATTCTAGCATAGATAATAAACGATTATCATGAACAACGAAATATAATAATAACCAATTTATTATTGCCTCTAGGGCATATTTCCAACAGAAACGTCAATGCAGTAGCCCCGAAGACTCAGGTTGGGCAACATGACCGACTTGAGGATCGAATCTCCTCAGGAACTACCTCAGCGGAGTAGCGGTATTTCGGCACAAGTAGCCCCTAGCTTGGTTTTGGGGGATCCGTTGGTCAACCTGACAGACGCTGGTCTAGAATATAATTTAGCCGACCAACGACATCAGTGCAAAAATCGCCCAAACTCGGTACTGCAGGACCATCGATCAACTTTCGTCGACAATAGTTGGACACTTCAACATACTATCATATTTTCAAAGATGTACAAAACCTGTTTGTGCATGTCGCAAACTAGCTCATAGGCAATCCAATTGTTCTCTTTTACTCCCTCCATTGTAGAATATTAGGTGCATCAATTTTCATGCAAGTCAATCTTATGTATGTTTGACAACCCACGATGTGACCTTGGTGGTTGGATCTAACGACGGCGACGCTTGCTAGTAGTTCTCTCCTTGGAGGCATCGTTTTTGAAGAACTTTTCTCTTGGTCCTTGTGTTGTCAAGAGATGTTTGGCACCGATGGTCACTGTTGTATATCGTCGATCAATGTTTTTCATTCCTTCGAGTTTTTTCTTTTCTCCTTTCCCCCAGGCGTAGCTTTGGTCTTGCATGACTTAGCTCGTTGCCGGCGTGATCGTTTGTGTTTGTGTGTTGCGTTGGTTGTGTGGTTATGAAGACACGGTCTGCTCGTTGCCGGCGTGATCGTTTGTGTTTGTGTGTTGCGTTGGTTGTGTGGTTATGAAGACACGGAATGTGTACTCAGATTATATTTTTGATGCTACATTATGTTGAATGAATAACATCTTTTATCAAAAATGTATGTTTGACAAGATTTCAATATCTACAATACATAATACTTTTTGCGATTGAATCTAATGTATTGGATACTGATACTTTTTTCTAGAACTTGTCATTATTTTGGAACGGGGAAGTAGCTTCTCTAGTCTAGCTTCTATGGATCGAAGGCTTTGTAGCACCTCCACCTCGTTAACTAAATACCAGTGAAGTCAAACTTTGCAACTAAATACCTCGTTAACTAAATACTCCCTCCATATTAGGTTTCTTGAGTCAAACTCTTCAAAGTTTATACAAAGAAGTTATTAACATTCACAGCACAGGCACGGCTGCAACTCGTACGTAGATACTCCTATACGTGGTAAGAAAACAGACCATATGCAGGCAGATTGCGTAGCTAATTCAACGAGTTCGATTATCAAACATTTATACGTAGTTAATTATGCTACCACATGCGTATCTTAAAAACTTTGTTAAACATGGAACGACATAAGTTACAAGTCCAGCAACGTGCAGTTACACGCTTCCACAGCCTCAGCAAGGCGGAGAAAGCTCCCACAGCTTCCGCAAGGACATTCTTCTCATTGTCCTTGCTTCCACAGCCTCAGCAAGGCGAAAGGTCGGGTCCTCACTTCCACAGCTTCCGCAAGGACATGTTCTTCTCATTGTCCTTCTTCATCACCTTGGCCACCGCCATCTCGAAGTCCTCCTGCGTTACGTGCACCCTTCTCTCACGGAGAGCAAACATTCCGGCTTCGGTGCAGACCGCCTGAATAACAAAGGACAGAAACCAGAGTGAACAACTTCATATGAAAGGAGCAGGGATGTTGTGCACATGATGGTGTTGTCAGCCGTGAACAAGGAAATGCAAAAAATGCAAAGTGTTTTTAAGTAAAGTCTTAATATACTACTTCTGCGTATATATACAAAAATGTTGCTAACCAGATAATGCAGAGAGATATTTAAACAGACCATTCTGCTTGTTTTTTCAGAAACCAAATTCGAACTCAACAAACAGCTAACAACATACAGTTAACCAACTATTCAGGCCCTCGAAACCATAATTAAAACTAATCTGGTGTTAGGTTAATAGGTGCAGAGCTACATAGAAGAACTAGGAACGGCCCTCAGAAGGGATCATTCATGAACAGGTTCCAAAAATGGATCAGCAGGAGGAGACTATAACATGAGCATGCTTCTCAGCAATCAAAGCTCAGGTGCATGGTGCAATATTCATTTTTTGCAAGAGATTAAACATTGTTCAATTATATTTTTTGGTTATATAAGCAAAGGCACTAAACAGACCCAAATTGAGAAAACTGAAACATGACGTAGCATATAATGACCAGAGATTTATGTAGACTAAACCAACCTTTAGCTCAGCTCCGGAAGCGCCATTCATCTTTCCCGCAATCTTTTTCAGATCAATTCCACGCATCAAGTTCATCCTTCTTGAATGAATCTTCAAGATATCACCTCGTGACTGAAGGGCAAAAGATTAAGCACATTGTCAGCCCAAACAAAATCATGCAGAATCATCAAGCATTATATGTTAAAAAGTATGAAGCACATACATCCTCATTAGGATTTGGAAATTCAATCTTCCTGTCTATGCGGCCAGGCCTCAAAAGGGCTTGATCCAAGATGTCTATGCGGTTTGTTGCCATCAGAACCTGCACCGAACACATACAGGGCATCATGATAGTGTTGCTCCATATATATATATATATATATAAGACACAGAAACAACAATTATTAAGTACAGCATACCTTAATTTTGTTTGATGCTTCAAAACCATCAAGTTGGTTTAGAAGCTCAAGCATGGTCCGTTGCACTTCACTATCACCATTGCCAGTTCCAGACTCCATTCTAGCAGATCCAATGGAGTCTATTTCATCCATGAATATAATAGATGGTGCATGCTCCCTGCAATAATTTAACCAAACAATTAGCCCATCAACAGAGGATGCACGTGGAACATATTTCATATCGAAGGCAAATAATTCTAGCTGTTAACCTTTTACTTAGCTTACCTAGCCATAACAAAGAGTTCACGAACCATCCGGGAGCCCTCACCAATATACTTCTGAACCAACTCAGAACCAGATACCCTGATGAAGGTACAGTCGGTGTGATGAGCAACTGCACGTGCCAGTAATGTTTTGCCTGTCCCTGGTGGTCCATAAAGGAGGACACCCTGCAAAAGAAGAGAGTAAAATTTTCTGCTAGGTATATCAATGAATGAACTAATTAAGACAATTCTTCTAAACAATCAAACCTTTGGCTGCGCAATTCCAAGGCTCTCAAATAACTCAGGATGTTTGATAGGAAGCTCGATGACCTGAAAATGGAGTTCATGAGTCAGATGGCAAACACGATACAATGACAACGCATCCAAATTCTAAACAGACCTCTTTGATCTCCTTGATTTGCTGATCAAGACCTCCAATCATATCATATGTAGAATCTGGGACCTTCTCAACTTTCATAAGATTGACCAGTGGATCAACTTTGCTTGGAAGGACCAAATGAAGCATATAGCTATCATTCCGAAGAGCAACTCTTGTTGAAGGTGTGATTTTTGTGATATCGATGCTCTTATCAATATCTACTACATATTTGCCTTCTGGATGCACCTGAACAATTACATCTGAAAGTTAGAGACACTTTGATGGCGAAAACATTATAACTCAGAGCAGACTGCCAGACCAATAAACCCAAAAGAGCGGCAAAAAACATGAATAGAGCACAATCACCAAGACAATAAAAATATCTCCAGCAGACTAACAGCCAAAAGCTAATAAAGGAAGCAGCCTATCACTCCTCCTCACTGTGTATGTGTGATGTTTGAATTCATTTGAAAATCTTAAATAAGTCATAAGCCCAACTAATAAAGAGCACTGATGAGATCTTACAACTTGTACCTTTGTCATACAGATAAAGTACAATAGTATTAGGCAATGTGTAAAAGAAGAAATAATTTACCTTAACTAGAACCTTTGATTTGCCCATGACCTTCACCACCTCACCAACATAAGAGCCAGGCTCTTGGAGTAACTGTAGCTCTTCCCTAAGCATTCTAACTGCAACACAAAAAAAATCGAGCCAATTTAGAGGAAGCACTAGATGAATAGCTCATGCAAAGAAGAAGCGCCACTCATTGAACCAAGATAGGAAGAGTAACTTGAATCCTTAATAGTATTCCTATGCTGCTATACATCGTCATGGCTCAATTGCACAGTCCAGTTGTTCAAGAAAAGTCATGTTTTAGATTATTCCTACCAAGAGTATGTATGCATGACAGTAACAAAAACACAAATTTCTCACAGAAAAAGCCATATTGAACAAATGGATAAAATTGGGAGAATCTAGCTATTGAAAAATAGTCATGTTTTGGATTATTGGTACCAAGAGTATGCATTAGAGTAACAAAAACACAAATTTCTCAGCCAAAAAAAGCAATATTGAATAAATGGATAAAATTGGGAGAATCTAGCTATTGAAGAGAAAGATTTAAGGCATGAGATAAACAGTGTTCTGTTCCTTTTGTGGTTCAAAACAAAATCACACTAACTAGAAAATAACAGGGCATCTTCCAACCTAGATTATTATTAACGAAAGGTGAATTTTTTTTTAGAAGTTCTACATATCGGCACAGACAATCACCGGTTGCCCAGTGACTAGACTAAATATTGCACATTTTGCTAAGATTATGCGCACGGAGCAAAGCTAGGGTTCGACTAATGCGATCCAATGGTTCACGAAAAAGCCGATGTCGCTAGGGTTTGGGGGCGGCGCTAGGTGAAGAATCGAGTAAGGTCACCTCGGGAGTTGAGGTCGTTGCGCTGGGCCTCGAGGCGGTTGAGGTTGTGCGTCTTCTGGCGGATCTGGAGCTGCAGGTCGTGGATGTGCTGCAGGTAGTACTGGCGCAACCCCTCGCCTCCGCCACGCGCGCCCTTGGCCGACTCGTCGCCGGACGCGGCCGGCGGGGGCTTCGAGATGTCCATCGCCACCGTCGCCATGGAGCTGGGGTTTGGTTTGGTTTCTTCTGCTTGCGGTCGACGAAAGCTTTATTCCTCGGCCTCTTTCTTCTTGCGGCGGAAGAAGAAAGCTTTTTTTCTTCTCGGCCCGGAAGCGGAGTGGGTTGTTTGGGTTGGGTCTGGTCCGGTCTGGTGCCGCTGGCTCGCTATGTTCCTTTCATTATAGTCGGTTCCTGCGAGGATGTGAGGCCGAGTCGGTCAAGTGTGTGGACTCTGGACAATGATGGAGCCGAGTCCGTGACAGTCACTGATTCATTGCACGCGGTAAAATCAAAACTCTGTGTGCATTTTATATCAAAAAAACAATGAACAATACGTATAAAAAACTTTGTGTGTTGCAGCGGGAATTTTTTTTGTGACTATTCAAAGTTCAAATCGATAGGGATAGGTGACCCTATAACAAAGCAATCCAAACACGAATTGCCCAAACTTGATTTAACATAGTAGTGTATAAGATAGCCATGCTTAAGAGCATTGGCACAAAATTTGAGCAAAACGACGAATAAAAAGGATATTGAAGGGTTAAATTATTGCTGCTGCATTGGACTTCTTTGATACTGGACCATAGGCCCGATGAGGTGAATGATACGGCGATTGTTCTAATTCCAAAGTTCCACATCCGAAGGGGCTAAAGGATTT